GGGATACAGTAGTCTCATCAGCCGAACCGCCCCGGCATATCCGAAGCGCAAGCTCCGGGGCACCGGTGCTCCGAGGCGGCCCGTGGCTAACGGCCTGCGCTGGGGCCGGATTTAGAGCGGCCATCTGGCTCCCACCGGGCACAAGACGAGGGAGGTGGGCACCTGAGAAGATCTTCCCCTTCCTTAATGGAGGAGGGGGCCGGGAGACGTCGAAGAACAGTGCAGGGCTTAGGCTTGATCACCTTGGCGCCCCTCCTGCCTCTGTGTTCAGGGCCATTTTTAGGTTTATTTCTCCTCCCCAGACCTCGCATCCCCCAGAGGAGAGCCCACAGATACGCCTGTGCTTCCTGCATGTTTTTCCTCCGCGGGGGGGGGGGGGGGGGAATGATGTGAAAAGGAAGGAATTAATTAAAGAATTAACAAATGTTCTAAAGGGATCCTCTTGGTGTGGAACAGAGTACCGCCAGGGAAGACATTGGCCGTATCCCAGCGGCAACTCCAGAAACTGATCAGGGTCTGGCTTAGAATCCAGATGTGATCCGCCACTTTCCAGAAATCAAAAGAAGCACAACTTTTGATATTCCCAGAAAGCAGGGCAGCGCAGATGGCTGTCAAGAAGATGAAGCCTGGGGCTGCCTACGGGCATTCACTGTGATGGTTAAATGAAACATCCAGGTTTAGAGGCAGCCTACCTCAAGCACCACCCTCTGTCAGTTAATGCTCTTGACCCCCATCTGGGCTCCCATGCAATGCTCTCAGCTGCCTGTCCTTAAAAATCTTTCAAAACTTTTCACAGGCCGAGAAAGAAGAATAAATTCAGGAGCTTTCTGCACAAGCTTTGGGCTCATTGTATCTATCAACCTTTTGGTTTTCTTTTAACATTCACTCTGAATTTGTTTTGGAGGAAGTTGGAGAGCTTAATTCTTTCCTTGGAACACTCCTTTTCTGACCTTCATGTCTTGGTTGAAGATGTTGTCGATCCCATTATGGGAACGTTATATTTCTATGTCACCCCAAGTATGCAAATATTGATGGGGGGGCTTATTAATTAATGTGGGAACAGCCGAGGAAAAGGGTTAAGCTGCCCCTGCAGTCTCCACTATGGCCAACTCTGTAGACCACTATCACTGCCTTTGTCTTTCCAGGGAGGATCACTCCTGGGGGGATCTCTTTATAAGAGTCAGAAACTTCCCTCCAGTGCACACAACAGCTTGCTACTCAAGATTTTGTCAGGCTCACGGCAGGAGAGGGAAACTTTAATTCAGAAGTTCGGTTCTTTTTTTTTTTAAGAATCCTATATGTGTCTTTGGTGATGGCTCATTTTTGCTTCTAAGCCAGATCCTAATTGCTTTCTGGAGTTGCAGCAGGGAGATGGCCAAAGTCTTCTCTGGGGGTACCCTGTTCCACACGGAGAGCATCCCTTACAGAAAATTTGTGCTAAGAGGGATCGCAGCTTCCCTTGGGGGCCAGGACTGCAGGCAACTTCTGGGTTGGGTCTCACTGGACGGGCAGTATCCAGCAGAAGAAGATGATCTCCTGAGCCATAAAGGGCTTAAAAGGTGACAACCAGCATTGTGGATAATCCCCAGAAGCATTATCAGACAACCAGTGTGGATCCCACAGTGGTGATGTTACATGGGTGAACCATGAGGCACCTGTTAGTTTTGGGCTGCTGCATTCTGGACAAGGTGTAGCTTCTGAATGGTCTTCAAGGGTGCTTGCATGAAGAATGAATTGCAGCAGTCTAATTGTGAGGTGACAAACCCTCGACCCCTTCCCCCCAGCATAAACCTAACTTTATTGGGATTCAGGCAAAACACATCAGCTCACTTTTTAAACCCAGGATTAAACCTTAACCACACTATTCTTTGTGTTGAATTTATCTCATCTTAAGATCATAAGAAGCATAGTTAATATTCTGTAAGTCCCTTAATCATTGATTTGTTTATATGGGGTATTCGACTCCTTGTTCCAAATTCTTTCGGCTAAATAATATCTATCTTAACAATCTGTACTGTCTGTCTGTAAAAGAAGATTGCAGATTTACACATTTAATTCTAGGCGTTATTATTAATTCAGGAGTTTCAAATGTTGCTAATATATCTAGACCAAATTGTGAAATCAAAAGAGGCTTTGATCCAGATTCTTCTTGCAACAGCTTAAATGGCTGAAGAACCTGATTAGTCTTTTAGCCCCCCCCCCCAAATTGCTACACGTCATTCCTAATGGCCACTCCTGTCTTTTCGTTCCTGGAAGGGGCCAATGAAGATTCAAGAGCCAGTTGGGGATTATGAACAGAAGTGATGTTCTCATGACTCCATTTAGAACCCCTGAAGACAATAAGGCTGCTGAGGAAAAATGAGGGTAGTAGAAAGGATTGTTTTCTATTTTCATAAGAAGAATTGAAAAATTACTGGAAAAGAGACAGTCTCTTGGCCCTGCTTAAAACATTTGTGAAAAACTGAAAACAGTGTCGGCTGAGGTCTAATTAATAGTTTCTAAGAAATTTAAACACTTCTGGAATCTGGAACATACTGAAGACACCATCAGGAGATATTTGTGTCCCTGATTTTCTAGTTTTTAATGAAGGAAAAGTCAGATGTGCTGCAGAATCAAAGGGGTCTCTAGGACACAGCTATTTTTGAGCCTAAGGCTACATCATTGACAAGCCCAAACTTGAAAGTTGCACGAGGAGCCCTGTTAAGCAGGCAGGAACTACAACATGTCTTCTTTTACATGAGCACTTGGACTCCTGCATGACCTGTACCGGCATATCTCACAATCCGGACGCAGAGGGACCCCTTACTGAAGTGTGACATATGCATAATGCATTTCACAATTTATTTTGACCAGAACAGAATCTTCAACTCTTTGATCAAGACTAAACATACTTTGATTTTGCCAAGAGGCTATACGTAAATGACTGGGCTGGAAGGCTCGTTTATAGTAATATCCCGTACAACAGAGCTAGAGGAAGAAGAGATGGAGGCTGGGACTCCTGGCTGGATCTAGATGCTTGGTGGGTGCAAACCGACCTTTAACGGGTCCATAATGTTCCATCCCAGGTTGAATCACAGGAATTAACCTTTCGACACAGAAGACAGCGAGTGCAGACAGTTGACTAAGCTGCCCGCCAGAGTCCCACAAAGTGTGTGATGCGATCCCAGAATGTGAGGTGGAGTGGAGGCCTCTGGAGCAAATGTCTGAGGGCTCTGGGAAACATTTTAAACTCAGAAAAACAGCATGCAGGGATCAGAGGCAAGGAAGGGAAAATTCTTTTTGCATTTAGCTTGAGATCTAAAAATACTGTAGCTCAGAATAGCCCTCACAGTTAAAGCCCATAAGAAGCCTAAATAAAAGTCACCATGGAACAATGGGATTCGTTTCCTGCTTGCTTCAAGGCGCTGCTCCCTGCAACTCTGAAAACAAAAGGGCCCGCAGGCCGATGGGCATAAATAAAGAAATGGGAAGAATGAGAATAAATTCAACAGCTGAAGGCATGACGTGGTGGGCATTAAGAGGAGCAATGTAAGGAAGGAAGATTGAAGAAAATAATCTCGTACAGCTGAGATTAACCACATGATCTCTAAAGTAAAAACTAAGCCCCAAACCTTCTAATGCCAATGGCGACTGAGCAGAACTTGACAACACTCCTGGAAATCTTCTAGTATAAGTCCCACAGGAATTCTGGGAACTGACAAGGCTATGGTCATGTCTGGGGTCAGATTTACATAGAAGCCGGTCAGTTTTTCCTGTACAGAATGCAGTGGAGTATTGGGGGCGTATGATAACCTACATCGCATCGGGCAATGATTAGGTATGCAACCCCTTCCCTTGTGAGCGGTATTATTAGGTCTTAAAATAGTAGTATGGGGCAGGTGGGGCCCACGTCTGCTGCAGCATTTGCTTCCTGTTTACATGTTGCTCAGCCTGGATTGCTGACTGGGCCGCTGGCATGATGAGCGTCGCTTCTGAATCTTTGAGTGCTCTGGGAGTTACCCATTTGATAAGCCTTTCCGTGTGGTAGAGCTGAGGAGCAGACGGGGAGGTCTTCTTGGAGATATTTTCAAGGGCAGTAGGCTATTTGCTCTGGGTACGGGGGACCTATTTTGCCTTTCAGACAAGTGATATTCTGCTGGCTGAGGCTTTCCCCTGTCCAGGGAGAGGAGTAAACAGAGGATGCTTCTCCCACCTGGGCCAGAGCGTATGCAAGCCTGGGTTGTAGTAACCTTCCCAACAATACTTTGCTGCCAACACAGACATTTAGGAATAGTTTTGGCGTGTGACTGGTCAGCAATGGGATTGTCAGAACCTAGGCAGTTGCTCTACAGCAGTGTTTCTCAACCTTGGCCGCTTGAAGACGTGTGGACTTCAACTCCCAGAATTCCCCAGCCAGCAAAGCTG